AAAAAAAAAAAAGAAGAGGAAAAAAAAAAAAAGAAAAAGGAGAAAAGCGCGAGAGAAATCTTTGCCGAGACGTGCACCGAAAGAAATCGAGGAAACGTGAATGTACGAGAGCGAATTTTTAATCACAGCCTCCACCCTGACGAACGAAAAAAAAAAAAGATTACGCGAGATCTGGTCTTCCTTCGACGGGACTGAAATCGAAGAAGAGAAATGGCGTGTAACGAGAGAGATACGGCTGATCACAAATCAAATTTGCTAAACAAACTATCCGAAATATGTGTTCAAATGAAGGCAAACGGTAAATATGTAAGAGAAGGAAACGTACGAATTAACGCGACCGTATGTTTGCCAATCCGAGGTCCAATCACAGACCAGTAAGAGCAATCGCGATCGGAACGCCCTCTGAGCACGTTGCCCGGCGTTGATCGAATTACGAGCGTAAACATAATTAGGAGATGCGTGCATCAACAGCGCGCGTCTGTCTTCATTCGCTCGATGACGCGAGACAGAGACAGAGAAAGAGAGACAAAGACAGAGGAAGGGATAGAGAGAGAGAGAGAGAGGTCTGTACAGTCTGCAGATGAACGTTTCATTTCTCGTGGCATTGTGCACGGCATCTCCCGGTACGCGTCCGGCAAAGACGATTAGGGGACAAGCTGAGCGGATTAGACCTCGTAGCTAGATACTTGCCTACGAGTTTCCTATTCCCGCGGCAGACCGGTCCACTCGATCTCTCCGCTCAAATCGAATCAACGCATTCCATTTTCGAGATAGTACACTGGCTATTAGTGTCGTCGCTATTAGTACGCGTATACCACGGACACGAGCCCCTATTATATTCGTTCGTTTCTCGTTTGGAATATAATTAACATCGACGAGCATCCGTGTTATTAAGTTCTTTATCGTATATGAAAATTTATCGAATTTTGGTTGTTTTTCAATAGACAGTTCGCGATATCCTCGCCTTTTGACTTCTCCTTACTCGGTTCGGTTTAATTCATTGGATTATTAATCGGATTTATAATCGCGTATTTATAATAGCGGGTCAAAAGTATTGTTTTTAATTTCAAGTGAAACGATATTTGGTTCGAGTTTATACACGTAGAACGATGCAACGTAGAGGAAGGGACATTAGAACCGCCAAAGTGATCGAGAATAGAGACACGCGTACACATACATATACATACATACATACACACGTACACAAAGCGTAGATTCATGCGCATGCGCGCCAGCACGAATATACAAAGGAAGAGAGACAGGAAAGGGAAAGACACGTTTACTGGTAAAAAAGAAAGAAAGAAAGAAAGAAAAAGAAAAAGCTTGTACGGCAAGTACCAATTGATAATATCACTACGATCTAAGCTTTTTAATGTTTAACGGTACATAAAATAGTGAATATCAAGGTACTCAACCTACTCTAATAAAAAAAAAAATATACCATAATAATAGCTATAAATTCATATAAATATTAATGTATACATATACATATAAATGTATATATACGAAGGTAAACGAAAATTGTAAACAAAACCGAAAACAAATACAACTATTTTATCCAACAAAGTTTTTGCTACAACCGAAGTAGTAGTGCATCTTGCTATGGAAATAAATATGAGACTTAAGAAAGAAGTAAGAAAGAGAGAGAGAGTGTGTGCGTGAGTGAATGTATGAAAGAGAGACAGAGAGAGAGAGAGAGAGAGAGAGAGAGAGAGAGAAGAATATTCTTAGCTGTAAGAAAAAGAAGAAAATAACGATAATAGTTAATCTGTGAGGATCAGCTTCGAATTTATTTTTACAATGACGTGATGTAATGCTGAGACGAATTCGCTGCTCGCTAATTAACGATTTCCGAATTCTACTCGGGAAAAAAAATTCAAGCGTCCTGACGACGCACTCGGGTATCGAATTTTGTACCGAATCTCAGTACAGACGCCGGATCTCTCTAAGAATTCTCTTTTTAAAGAAAATAAATAAATAAAAAGAAAAAAGAAAAGAAGAAGAAGAAAATATTCTCGAGTCGCCTCGAGTCCGTCGCTGAAATTTTTCTAAAAATATAAAATCGATACTCGTGGTCGTCGTTGTCCAATAGCATCGTCAGCCATAAAAATTCCACGGAAAACTCTTCGAGAAACGTGGGAAGGGAAGGAAGAGGGAACGGAAGAATGGGTCGGTATTGTCTACTCCTTCCAACCAGTGGGCAATTTCTTGGAATTTTTACGGTTACAGCCAAACGGGGACACGAATATATTCGAATAGGAAAACGGAAACGGAAATATATCCTTCATTCTCGAATATATATACACACACACACACACATATATATATATATATATATTACATACCAAACTTTAACCAAATAAATAACGATTCCAAACAACACCACATTATAAACATTTACTAGAATTTACCACCACCACCGTACTCGCACAACAAAGATGAACAACACAGCTAAAATTATCAAACCCTCTCGACACTGCTATACCGCGTTCATCGATCCGAAATTTTACGTGGAAAATTACAATTGGATTCAAGTCACGCGCGCCGCGACCTGATATCCGGTAGCCGTGGTGTC